GCTGTGGATGAAGGAGGGAACTGTGGATGAAGGAGAGAGCTGTGGATGAAGGAGAGAGCTGTGGATGAAGGAGAGAGCTGTGGATGAAGGAGGGAGCTGTGGGTGAAGGAGAGAGCTGTGGTGAAGGAGAGAGCTGTGGGATGAAGGAGAGAGCTGTGGATGAAGGAGAGAGCTGTGGATGAAGGAGGGAGCTGTGGATGAAGGAGAGAGCTGTGGATGAAGGAGGGAGCTGTGGATGAAGGAGGAGCTGTGGATGAAGGAGAGAGCTGTGGATGAAGGAGGGAGCTGTGGATGAAGGAGGGAGCTGTGGATGAAGGAGAGAGCTGTGGATGAAGGAGAGGAGCTGTGGATGAAGGAGAGAGCTGTGGATGAAGGAGGGAGCTGTGGGTGAAGGAGAGAGCTGTGGGTGAAGGAGAGAGTGTGGATGAAGGAGGGAGCTGTGGGTGAAGGAGAGAGCTGTGGGTGAAGGAGGGAGCTGTGGATGAAGGAGGAGTGTGGATGAAGGAGGGAGCTGTGGATGAAGGAGAGGGCTGTGGATGAAGGAGAGAGCTGTGGATGAAGGAGGGAGCTGTGGGTGAAGGAGAGAGCTGTGGGTGAAGGAGAGAGCTGTGGGTGAAGAGAGAGAGTGTGGATGAAGGAGAGAGCTGTGGATGAAGGAGGAGCTGTGGATGAAGGAGAGAGCTGTGGATGAAGGAGGGATGTGGATGAAGGAGGGAGCTGTGGATGAAGGAGAGAGCTGTGGATGAAGGAGGGAGCTGTGGATGAAGGAGAGAGCTGTGGATGAGAAGGAGGAGAGCTGTGGGATGAAGAGGAGCTGTGGATGAAGGAGGGAGCTGTGGGTGAAGGAGGAGCTGTGGATGAAGGAGAGAGCTGTGGATGAAGGAGGGAGCTGTGGATGAAGGAGGAGCTGTGGATGAAGGAGAGGCTGTGGATGAAGGGAGAGGGGAGAGATGTGGTGAATGAGGGAGCTGTGGGTGAAAGATGGAGCTGTGGTGAAGGAGGGAGCTGTGGATGAAGGAGGAGCTGTGGATGAAGGAGGGAGCTGTGGATGAAGGAGGAGCTGTGGTTGAAGGAGGGAGCTGTGGATGAGGAGAGAGCTGTGGTTGAAGGAGGGAGCTGTGGATGAAGAGGGAGCTGTGGTGAAGGAGAGAGTTGGATGAAGGATGGAGCTGTGGATGAAGGAGGGAGCTGTGGGGTGAAGGAGAGAGCTTGGATGAAGAAGGATGGAGCTGTGGATGAAGGAGAGAGCTGTGGTGAAGGAGAGAGCTGTGGATGAAGGAGGGAGCTGTGGGTGAAGGAGGGAGCTGTGGATGAAGGAGGGAGCTGTGGATGAAGGAGAGAGCTGTGGGTGAAGAGGAGCTGTGGATGAAGGAGGAGCTGTGGTGAAGAGGAGCTGTGGATGAAGGAGGGAGCTGTGGATGAAGGAGGAGGGAGCTGTGGATGAAGGAGGGAACTGTGGATGAAGAGAGAGAGCTGTGGATGAAGGAGAGAGCTGTGGATGAAGGAGAGAGCTGTGGATGAAGGAGGGAACTGTGGATGAAGGAGGGAGCTGTGGTGAAGGAGAGGGCTGTGGATGAAGGAGAGAGCTGTGGATGAAGGAGGGAGCTGTGGGTGAAGGAGAGCTGTGGGTGAAGGAGAGAGCTGTGGATGAAGGAGAGAGCTGTGGATGAAGGACAGAGCTGTGGGTGAAGGAGAGAGCTGTGGATGAAGGAGAGAGCTGTGGATGAAGGAGAGCTGTGGGTGAAGGAGAGAGAGGAGGAGAGCTGTGGATGAAGGAGGGAGCTGTGGATGAAGGAGGGAGCTGTGGATGAAGGAGAGAGCTGGGATGAAGGAGGGAGCTGTGGATGAAGGAGAGAGCTGTGGATGAAGGAGAGAGCTGTGGATGAAGGACAGAGCTGTGGGTGAAGGAGAGAGCTGTGGATGAAGGAGGGAGCTGTGGATGAAGGAGAGAGCTGTGGGTGAAGGAGGAGCTGTGGTGAAGGAGAGAGCTGTGGATGAAGGAGAGAGCTGTGGATGAAGGAGAGAGCTGGGGGTGAAGAGATGGAGCTGTGGATGAAGGAGGGAGCTGTGGGTGAAAGAGGAGCTGTGGATGAAGGAGGAGCTGTGGATGAAGGAGGGAGCTGTGGATGAAGGAGGGAGCTGTGGATGAAGGAGAGAGCTGTGGATGAAGGAGGGAGCTGTGGATGAAGGAGAGAGCTGTGGGTGAAGGAGAGAGCTGTGGGTGAAAGATGGAGCTGTGGATGAAGGAGGGAGCTGTGGGTGAAGATGGAGCTGTGGATGAAGGAGGGAGCAGGTGGATGAAGGAGGGAGCTGTGGATGAAGGAGAGAGCTGTGGTGAAAGGGAGCTGTGGGGAAAGATGGAGCTGTGGATGAATTAGGGAGCTGTGGATGAAGAGAGAGCTGGGTGAAGGAGGGAGCTGTGGATGAAGGAGGGAGCTGTGGATGAAGGAGGGAGCTGTGGATGAAGGAGGAGCTGTGGATGAAGGAGAGAGCTGTGGTGATGAGGGAGCTGTGGGTGAAGAGGAGCTGTGGATGAAGAGGGAGCTGGATGAAGAGAGAGCTGTGGGTGAAGGAGGGAGCTGTGGATGAAGGAGGGAGCTGTGGATGAAGGAGGGAGCTGTGGATGAGGGAGGCTGTGGATGAAGGAGGGAGCTGTGGATGAAGGAGGAGCTGTGGGTGAAGGAGAGAGCTTGGATGAAGGAGGGAGCTGTGGGTGAAGGAGAGAGCTGTGGTGATGAGGAGAGAGCTGTGGATGAAGGAGGGAGCTGTGGGTGAAGGAGAGAGCTTGGATGAAGGAGGGAGCTGTGATGAGGAGGGAGCTGTGGGTGAAGGAGGGAGCTGTGGTGAAGGAGAGAGGTGGATGAAGGAGGGAGCTGTGGATGAAGGAGGGAGCTGTGGATGAAGGAGGGAGCTGTGGATGAAGGAGAGAGCTTGGATAGGAGGGAGCTGTGGGTGAAGGAGAGAGCTGTGGATGAAGGAGAGAGCTGTGGGTGAAGGAGGGAGCTGTGGATGAAGGAGGCGTACCGTTCTCACGACGAACGCCGGTACCGTCGCGAACGCCGTCCGACCCGCACTGGGGGACGGCAGAGAAACGCCATGCGTCGGCCCGACGGGAGCTCAATGCAGCCCTGGTCGATTAAAATACGAATCGGCATTTTCCCTAGGAAGTCCGTCCCCAGCAGGCACGGAAACCGCCAGCGAGGAGGAAACAAAAATCGGGCCGGACAATTTGATATCACCGATACAAATTTGCGCTCGAATTTGTCCAATGATGCCAAGTGAGCCCCCGTTAGCAGCATAGAATGGGACGTTAACGGGCAGCAAGGGACGGCTCTGAACATGGAGAATATTGTAAATTAGTTCCGAAATGATGGTCGCCGATGCTCCTGTATCGACCAGGACGCGCACCTCAACCCCGTCAATGTGCCCCACAACGGCTGACGACCCCGACGATGCAGCCACAACGCGATGGGCCAACATGGACCACTGCCTGGGTTCGATATGAGTCCCATAGTGGTGCGTGTTGGCGCGACGGTGCGCAATGTCGGCCCCCCGTTCGTTGCGGTGTGCGAATGTGTGACGGGGTGTGCGTGGGCCAAACATGAGGGGTGCCACGACTCGCCGGGTTATGTTGATGGAACTTGGGAGGAGGGCCGGCGTCCTGTCGAGGCGTCGTCCCCGCTGCCGAGGAGAGCGGCACCCCGAGGCGACATGGCCCCGGATGCCGCAGTTGTAACAGCGCGGGAGCGCTGACGACGATGATGGATGGTCGAGGTGGCTCGCTCCGTCCCGGCCCGCCCGTACTCCCGCTCTCTGCTGCAGTTGATGGTCGATGGCGCAAACTTCCTCCGCCGGGAGGGTGGCTGCAGCCACAGCACGCCCGGCCGCTGCCTTCTGGCCTTCCGTCGCTGCGAGAGTAGGTTGGCGTGGAGGAGCCGTGCAGCCTGGAGGGAACACATTTCTGCGTCGTCCTGTGCAACGACGGCGATGTCCAGGTCGTCCGCCAGCAGGAGGATCTTTTCCGTTACCATCGCGCCACGCCTTCGTCGTCCATTCGTGGGAAGGCCGTCTTTGCCAGTGCCAGGAGACTCGTACGATACGCCAGGGGCGACTCCTTTGCACCCCGCTGGCGATCATAAAAGAGCTGCCTGCAGTCCGACGACGGTCCGTAGACTGCAGCCAGCAACTGCAGCACCATCTGTAGCGTGGAGCGTTTGTCCTTCGGCGCCGATGTAAGAGTGGCGAGGGCGTCGCTGTCGAGGAGCGCCGGCAGCGCGCGGAGAGCCTCGGCATCTGTCCACTGCGCCATCTCCTGGTGTGCGAGGAAGCGCCGCTGGAAGCCGCCCAGTCGCCATCCTCGCACACAAACTCCTTGAGTGGAGGTAGCCGTTGGTGCAGCGCAGCGGCCGCGTGGAAGCTCGCTCACCGTTGTCCCCGTCACTCGGCTGGGCTTCGGCGCGAACGACGGATGGCATCGCCGGTCGCACCAGTGGTGATGCTCTGTCCGCCGGTGATGACGCGGCAGCCACTGTACGGCCGACGTCGGACCCGAGGTTCAGGCCGGCCACCCTCAGCAGCTGCTGTGGCGATGGCGGGAGATTCGAAGTCGGGCCCCGTCGAAATGGCGGGAAAGCGCACCGGTCGTCGGCTGTCGTCGCCCGTGGCGGTCCACCAGCCCCCAGCCGTGTGATCTGTTCCAGCGTGGCGGCAGCAGCGTACAGCAGTCCGCCAGCCTCGCGTGAGCCAGCCTCAGTCCTTCTGTTGACGGCTCCCCTCCATCCCGATGCTGCGGTAAGGATGCATCCGGCCCGGCTGCTCGATGCCTTCTTCAGCCGTCTCGGGCTCACAAACTGCAGCGGTGTCCTCGCCCCCGGTACCCAGGATTCGTACGGGATTTCGATTTCGTAGGGATTTCGTACGGGATATCGTATAGGATTCGATTTTGTACGGGATTTCGGACTGGATTTCGTACAGGATTTCGACGGGATTTCGTACGGGATTTCGTACTGGATTTCGGACAGGATTTCGGATGGGATTTCGGACGGAATTCGTATTGGATTTCGGACGGGATTCGATTTCCTACGGGATTTCGTACGGGATTCGATTTTGTACGGGATGTTGTACGGGATTTCGATTTCGTACGGGATTTCGATTTGTACGGGATTTCGGACTGGATTTCGTACAGGATTTCGATTTTGTACGGGATTTCGTACGGGATTTCGATTTCGTACGGGATTTCGTACGGGATTTCGATTTTGTACGGGATTTCGGACGGGATTCGGACGGGATTTCGGACGAGATTTCGGACGCGATTTCGGACGGGATTTTGGACGGGATTTAGTACGGGATTCGTACGGGATTTCGATTTCGTCGACGGATTCGATTTCGTAGGGATTTCGATTTTGTACAGTATTTCGGACTGGATTTCGTACAGGATTTCGTACGGGAATTCGGAAGGGATTTCGGACTGGTTTTTGGACGGGATTTCGGACGGGATTTAGATTTTGGACGGATTTAGATTTTGGACGGGATTTCGTATGGGATTTCGATTTCATAGGGATTTCGGACGGGATTTCGGACTGGATTTCGTACGGGATTTCGATTTTGTACGGGATTTCGGACTGGATTTCGTACAGGATTTCGATTTTGTACGGGATTTCGTACGGGATTTCGATTTCGTACGGGATTTCGTACGGGATTTCGATTTGTACGGGATTTCGGACGGGATTTCGGACGGGATTTCGGACGAGATTTCGGACGCGATTTCGGACGGGATTTTGGACGGGATTTAGTACGGGATTTCGTACGGGATTTCGATTTGTACGGGATTTCGATTTCGTATGGGATTTCGATTTTGTACAGTATTTCGGACTGGATTTCGTACAGGATTTCGTACGGGAATTCGGAAGGGATTCGGACTGGTTTTTGGACGGGATTTCGGACGGGATTTAGATTTTGGACGGGATTTAGATTTCGGACGGGATTTCGTATGGGATTTCGATTTCATACGGGATTTCGGACGGGATTTCGTACAGGATTTCGGATGGGATTTCGATTTTGTACGGGATTTCGTACGGGATTTCTATTTCGTACGGGATTTCGGACGGGATTTCGATTTCGTACGGGATTTCGTACGGGATTTCGATTTTGTACGGGATTTCGGACAGGATTTCGGACAAGATTTCGTACGGGATTTTGGACGCGATTTGGACGGGATTTCGGACGGGATTTCGTACGGGATTTCGTACGGGATTTCAATTTCGTACGGGATTTCGATTTCGTACGGGATTTTGTACTGGATTTAGATTTCGTACGGGATTTCGGACAGGATTTTGTACAGGATTTTGTACGGGATTTCGTACAGGATTTCGGACGGGAATTCGGACGGGATCTCGGGGGGATTTCGGACGGGATTTTGGACGGGATCTCGGGCGGGATTTCGGACGGGATTTCGGACGGGATTTCGGATGGGATTTCGGACGGGATTTCGATTTCGTACGGGATTTCGTACGGGATTTCGTACGGGAATTCGATTTGTACGGATTTCAGACGGGATTTCGGACGAGATTTCGGACGGGATTTCGGACGGGATTTCGTACGGGATTTCGGACGGGATTTCGGACGGGATTTCGGACGGGATTTCGGACGGGATTTTGGACGAGATTTCAGACGCGATTTCGGACTGGATCTCGGACGGGATTTCGGATGGGATTTTCGGACGGGATTTCGATTTCGTACGGGATTTCGTACGGGATTTCGTACAGGATTTCGATTTTGTACTGGATTTCGGACTGGATTTCGTACAGGATTTCGTACGGGATTTCGTACGGGATTTCGGATGGGATTTCGGACGGGATTTCGGACAGGATTTCGGATGGGATTTCGATTTCCTACGGGATTTTGTACGGGATTTCTACGGATTTAGATTTTGTACGGGATTTCGGACTGGATTTCGTACAGGATTTCGTGAGGATTTCGTAGGGATTTCGTACGGGTTTTCGGACGGGTTTTCGGACGGGATTTCGGGACGGGATTTAGATATCGGACGGGATTTAGATTTCGGACGGGATTTCGTACGGGATTTCGATTTTGTACGGGATTTCGGACGGGATTTCGGACGGGATTTCGGACGGGATTTCGGACGCGATTTCGGACGGGATTTCGGACGGGATTTCGTACGGGATTTCGTACAGGATTTCGTACAGGATTTCGATTTCGTACGGGATTTCGATTTCGTATGGGATTTCGTACGGGATTACGATTTTGTACAGGATTTCGGACTGGATTTCGTACAGGATTTCGTACGGGATTTCGGAAGGGATTTCGGACTGGTTTTTGGACGGGATTTCGGACGGGCTTTAGATTTCGGACGGGATTTAGATTTCGGACGGGATTTCGTATGGGATTTCGTACGGGATTTCGATTTCGTACGGGATGTCGTACGGGATTTCGATTTCGTACGGGATTTCGATTTCGTATGGGATTTCGTACGGGATTACGATTTCGTACGGGATTTCGTACCGGATTTCGTACAGGATTTCGATTTCGTACGGGATTTCGATTTTGTATGGGATTTCGTACGGGATTACGATTTTGGTACAGGATTTCGGACTGGATTTCGTACAGGATTTCGTACGGGATTTCGGAAGGGATTTCGGACTGGTTTTTGGACGGGATTTCGGACGGGATTTAGATTTCGGACGGGATTTAGATTTCGGACGGGATTTCGTATGGGATTTCGTAAGGGATTTCGATTTCGTACGGGATGTCGTACGGGATTTCGTACAGGATTTCGATTTTGTACGGGATTTCGGACTGGATTTCGTACAGGATTTCGTACGGGATTTCGTACGGGATTTCGTACGGGGATTTCGGACGGGATTTCGGACGGGATTTCGGACAGGATTTCGGATGGGATTTCGGACGGAATTTCGTATGGGATTTCGGACGGATTTCGATTTCCTACGGGGATTTCGTACGGGATTTCGATTTCGTACGGGATTTCGTATAGGATTTCGATTTTGTACGGGATTTCGGACTGGATTTCGTACAGGATTTCGTACGGGATTTCGTACGGGATTTCGTACGGATTTCGGACGGGATTTCGGACGGGATTTCGGACAGGATTTCGGATGGGATTTCGGACGGAATTTCGTATGGGATTTCGGACGGGATTTCGATTTCCTACGGGATTTCGTACGGGATTTTGATTTCGTACGGGATGTTGTACGGATTTCGATTTTGTACGGGATTTCGGATGGGATTTCGTACAGGATTTCGATTTTGTACGGGATTTCGGACTGGATTTCGTACAAAATTTCGATTTTGTAGGGATTTCGTACGGGATTTCGATTTCGTATGGGATTTCGTACGGGATTTCGGAGGGGATTTCGGACGAGATTTCGGACGCGATTTCGGACGGGATTCGGACGGGATTTCGTACGGGATTTCGTACGGGATTTCGATTTCGTACGAGATTTCGATTTCGTACGGGATTTCGATTTTGTACAGTATTTCGGACTGGATTTCGTACAGGATTTCGTACGGGATTTCGTACGGGATTTCGTACGGGATTTCAGACGGGATTTCGGACGGATTTCGGACAGGATTCGGATGGGATTTCGGACGGAATTTCGTATTGGATTTCGGACGGGATTTCGATTCCTACGGGATTTCGTACGGGATTCGATTTCGTACGGGATGTTGTACGGGATTTCGATTTTGTACGGGATTTCGGACGGGATTTCGTACAGGATTTCGATTTTGTACGGGATTTCGGACGGATTTCGTACAGGATTTCGATTTTGTACGGATTTCGTACGGGATTTCGATTTCGTACGGGATTTCGTACAGGATTTCGATTTTGTACGGGATTTCGGACGGGATTTCGGACGGGATTTCGGACGAGATTTCGGACGCGATTTCGAACGGGATTTCGGACGGGATTTCGATTTCGTACGGGATTTCGATTTCGTACGGGATTTCGATTTTGTACAGTATTTCGGACTGGATTTCGTACAGGATTTGTACGGGAATTCGGAAGGGATTTCGGACTGGTTTTGGACGGGATTTCGGACGGATTTAGATTTCGGACAGGATTTAGATTTCGGACGGGATTTCGTATGGGATTTCGATTTCA